TTTGGTCCATCTACCCTCCCAAGACTGTCTGACTCCCGAGTACTGGCAGCGAGTGTGGGGCACAGAAAGGCTGCCTGGCTGCACCACACTTCCACCATGCCGCGAAGCTGAGAACAAGAACCTCGTGGACTGAGCCGCTGAGATGTGCACAGGGCGGAGACTGGCACTCAGGACCTCCAGAGGCGCGGCCGGGGGCGTGGACCAGCCACCGGAAGAGGTGGTGGCCGCAGCCCTGCAGAGCCCTGCGGAAGAGGAGTCCCAAGGAGAGGTCGGTGTCGCTTTCACTGCCAAGTTGCTAGCCGCAGACTCCCATGGTCTCTGCAGCCTCTGTGTGGCGAGGCCACTCCCTGGCTGTGCATGGGTCAGTGAGAGCGAAGCCGCCCTTTGGCCCAGGCCCATCCATCACCAAGTCCCTGGGCCTGTCTTCTGTCGCATCTCCTTGAGTCGCTGCTTCCTTCCATTCCCCAGCTGGACAGCCCCTTCCGAGCTGCAGTGCATCAGCCTGACTTCAGTCCAAAGCAGGGTGGCTGTGTGGGCAGAGCAGCAAGGTTACGCCTGGGCATCCCCAGGCCGTGGGTGGGTGTGTGGGCGACACTTCGTAAACACTGTGCATCCTTCATATTCGCAGGCCTTGGCTCTGACCGAGGACAGAGTCCCAGGAGGGAGCCTCGGTTCCTTTGCAGCGGGGTAGCTCTTGGGAGTGATGGGAAGCTCTCTTCCCCTTAGAGTGGCATTTGTCTGCCGGGTGACACTGCTCCATGGGACCAGAACCAGAGAGCCTCTCGGTCCAGCTGTATGGACCCAAGAGCCAAGCTGGGAGTGCAGCAGTGTTCTTCAACCCTCAGGAGAGCTGTGAGTCAGTAGGCTGCCAACCAGCCATTGGAGGAGCTGGGGACAGCAGGCAGCAGGTGCAGGGCCAGAGCAGTGCCTGGGTGGCTGGAAGGAGGAAGCTGGGGCAGTGCTGATGGTAGATTGAAAAAATACAACTAATGGGCAGAGTGACACTCTCCAGTCTGTTCAAATAGAATTCAGCCCGACACTGTGGGCTTTGAGCAGGGCCCAGCCCTTTTGAGGCAGTGTGGCTTTGGGTGAGGTTGTCAGTGTTGTGCCCAGGATCTGCCAGCTTCTGACGGCCAGGACTCCTGCACCTCACAAGCCCCGTTCCTCCCTGACTGGGGACACAGCTCCTACCTCAGTGCTCGGAGAATTTGCCATGACTGTGGTCTCTGGGCACCATATGGTCGTTGCACATTCTCTGCAGATGCACATGTGCACAGGCCACAGTGCTGGGAGGCTGAAGCAGGGCAGCAGGAAGCTCGCTCCCATCTCCTCCTAGAGACAGAAGCAGTAGGATGTGGCTTCCCACAAGGCCCTGCCCGAGCCGTGACAGTGCCCGGGCCTGTGTCGGGAGTGCTGCCTGACCTGAGTGGCGAGCCGTGATGGGCACTGACTCCGTACTCCTCTCTCACGGGCTTGGTTTCTTCCTGGGAAGGGATCTGAGCTGTCTCAGCCACAGGCTCCCCTCTCCAGAGCACTTCTGACCACCCTGCCTCTTCCACAGCCCCGTGGACCAGGGCCCGGTGAGGGGGCCCAGCGCTGGGTCTCATCCCAGCACGTCCCCTCCCCAAGGGAGGTGGAGGATGGAAGGTCTATGGCCATTCAACATTTGAACCATTTAACATGTGGGCATCTTGGGGCACAGATGGCCTAGGACGCTGCAACCCATGGCTGAGAGTCTGTGACTCGCTCATGTCCCAGTGCTACCTTAAAGTACTTTTATGTCAGCTTTATTGCAGACTACTGCACCAGTGTCCTTTCCAGAGATAGGGTTGGATGGGTTTTGCCAGTTGTGTGTGCGCTGGAAATCATTCTCCCAAGTGTGGGCATCAGCCGGGTTTCCGGCGTCCAGGCAGCTGGCCCCCCGCCCTGCTCCAGGTGTGCTGACGGGCTGTGTGTGACCGTGAGGTAGGCCCTATTTCAGTAGTTGGAGTGATATACATCATTCTCCCAAGGGCTTCTTTCACTCAGCGGGGCTCTGCATTGTGATAAATTATGCATAACACAAATACCTTTTAATAGTTTTTAGCTACAGTTCTGGGCAGTGAGTGTGCTCACATTATCACGCCGCCTTCACCACCACATGTCTCTGGAACTTCACCTCCCAAACTGCAGCTTTCTACCCATCCACAGCAGCTCCCATTCCTCTCCTCCTCCGCCCAGAAACCGCCCTCCTATTCCTGCCTCAGAACGACCACTCCGGGCACCTTGTTTACAAAGTCACACGCCTGTTCCTTGTGTCTGAACTTCTGCACTCACCACGATGTCCTCTGGCGTCGTCACTGCTGTGACCTGTGCAGAATCCGCTTCTGCCCGGAGGCCGGAGTCTCATCACAGTGCACGCGTAGGCGTCCTGCGTCTCTGTCCGCTGTGGGTGGAAACTGGCTGTTTCTGCCTTTCGGTTATTGTGAGTGCCCTTCTGTGAGCATCGTACACAGATGTCTCTTCTAGCTCCTGCTTTCTGCTCTTTTTGGTGTATGTTGTGATTCTCTAGCTAATTTGGGGGGAATCTGCGTTCTCTTTCCACAGTACACCATTTCACACCTTTCAAACAGTTTTCATTAGACTGCTGCTCCTTCTGATCGTCTCCTCAGTTTCCGGAAGTGCATCCTTTGCCTTCTGTGGGCTGGATGATGATGATTGCTTCCTTCATATCTGAGCCTCTGCCTTTCTGGTCTCAGTCTAATTTAACTTTCAGAGAATTGCTCAGCCATGATAATCTCAAGTAAAATTGTTCTGCTGGAGTCCATTTAGCTCTAGCTAGTTCTCTCTATGCCCTGCCTCTTTATTAGCTGTCACATTGTACGGTTTGCCAGTACCCTGTTAACAGTACCATCATACAACTATCCACATCCTATTGACTCCATGTGTTTGCACCTGCATTGGTTCTGTCCAGTGACTCACTGTGCTGTATATTCCACTTGCATGTGTGGAGCTCTGTGCGCTGGAATGTGTACATCCAACCTCTGGGCCATCTTGGGGCGGCTGCTCCTCACGGAGCTATGTGCCGTCCAGCAGCTTTCATAGGGATGGCCCTACCGTCAGGACTGTGGCCCACGGAGGAGCCCCAGGCCAGCCTCATCTCTGCAGCAGGCCTCTGGGCTCCATGTTTGCCAAACACCTGCTGCGGCCTCAGCCAAACACAGCTGTCACCCACAGGTGCCTCCTGGCCCAGCCCCACCCCATGCTGCTCCTGGGCCTGCCGAGACCAGGTGTCGACCCCGGACCGCACTGTGTCTGAGCCACAGTGGGAGAGCGCAGGGCTCGGGGCAGGGTGCATCTCAGGGGGAGTAGCTGGCTGTGCTGGGCTGAACAGAGCCAGCCCCCTGAAAATTCATGCGGCCTGGATCCTCAGACTGGGACTTCATGTGGTGTAACTCAACTCCTTACCGCACTTGACGGGAAAACGCTCTGGATTTAGGATTCGTGACTGGAATCTGCATAAGAGGAGGAGCAGATAGAGAAACCACCTGAAGGGGGCAGTCATGGGAGGGACGCTGCCTGGAAGGAGCTGGAGAGGCGAGAAGGACCCTCCCCTCCCCGGGAGCCTTTGGGGCGAGGGTGGCCCTGCCAGCACCTTGGATTTGGACTTCAGGCCTCCAGAACTATGAAATAATAGGCATGCTGGCTGTTTTAGGCCACTGAGCTTCTGGTAATTTGTTACAGCAGCCACAGGAAACAAATACACTGGCTGTGGGGCTGGTCCTTGGCTCCCCTCGGTGCTCCTCTCTGCAGGGCCCTGAAGAGCTCAATGGCAAGGCAGCCCGAGGAGCAGGACAAAGCAGGAGTGGGAAAGAGCCAGGGCCACCGCCCGAGTCAGTCAGAGCCTGCCGGAGAAGCCCCTGTGTCTGCCCTGTCACTGCACCACGATCGCCACACCTTTTTGCTCCCCGCCAGTAAGGACGGCCGTGACTGCCTTGCTCTAGCCCTAGTTTTACACTTGAGATTCATGAAGTTGGTCTGGGTCACACTGCTGGTGAGTGGCAGATCCCAGATTTGAATTTATGTCTCCTGATGAAGAGCCTGCACACTCAGCCACTGGGCCACTGTGGCCCTCCTACTTTGCATCCTGGACAGCGGAGCTGGCTGCACAGCCCATGGTCACGTCACTCGGCTCCTGTTCCTTGGATGGCCTGCGGTGTTCACACTTTTATTCATGTGGTTTCCCTGGCAGCTCACCCCTGTCCCTCGTTCTCTGACACGTGTTCTCCCCACGTGGCTCAGTTTAAATGTGCTCCATCCTGTTATTTAGCCTTTACCCTGCGGGTCACAGTCGGTCTTTCCCAAGATAGAATTGGAGCACCACTGACATGCTGACATAGGACTACGTCTTTCAGTTTTGGCTTTGATTGCTTTCTGCCTTCTATAGCACCTCAATCCCTAAAGTCACCCCAAAAAGTTTGAATAAGTGAAATATGTAGAAGATTTGAAGATCGTTAAATAACACTCAACAGAAAGAGATATTAACGTAAAAAGAAGAACAGGGTTGGGGATTTAGCTCAGTGGTTTCGCTGCCTGTTGTGCAAGCACAAGGACCTGAGTTTGATCCCCGGTACAAAAACAAACAAAAAAAGAAGAACAGATATTCTAAGACAAAAGATCCACTGAGAGCTTTGAATTTTGTAAACTAATATTTAATCCAGAGTCCCCTTTCTGTGGGCTCATGACACTCAGTTCAATATATTGGTCATGGGACTCTGGAGCTTTCTTTTTCCGATTATCTGCTTAGGCCTGTAGACACATACCCTTTAGAAGCTTGCCCTAAGTGTGTCTGCACTTATGCTTACACATACCTCCTTTACGACCCAGTGGGAGTGTAAGACACTATTTGTGTAGACCGAGGCTGTGTTCTTTTGTGTTGCCTTCTCCACGGGGAACAGTTTGTCCATGGAGGAGGTCCTGCCCCCAGCGCATTTCTAACCACTCTTCTGTCTCCCCTACAGGCTGGCCATGGGTGACCCTGTCTGTCTTGGGATTCCTGTACTGCTACTCCCACGTGGGGATTGCCTGGGCCCAGACATACACCACGGACTGATTCTGCCTTCACCATCAGCCTCCAAGGCAAATGTGCTTCACCCTGACCTTCTACTCCAAAGTGATCTCCAAGGAGTTATCTTCTGGTCACCTTCTGCTGAAGATCTCTCATTCCAAGACTGGCAGCTTGATCTCTCATAGACAGTCTACAACCAGATAATCTTCTAAGTTTGGGGTCCTAGAGATTTTCTTCCCTGACCTCCTTAGTTTTCTGAGTAATCTGGGGTGCAGGAAATAGAGCATCTTACCCAGATATACATGGTGACATTTTGGTGTAGAACCCAGTCACCTGGCCCTTTGTGTTCTTTCTTCTGTACCAAGAGATAGATGATGTTGTTTTTTTGGGGGGGGGGGATTTGGGTACTGGGGATCGAACTTGGAACCTTGACTTGCAAGGCAGGTGGCGGAACCACTGAGTGACATCCGCAGCCCCTGTAGGGTACATTTCTTGGTTAGCATTGGAATCCTGGTTAGTGGTAGGCCTACCCTCTGAGTAGTATTTCTGAGACACTCTGGCCGTATGTTGGTGACCCCTTTCCTGTGGCCTGCAGTGCTAGCACGTGCTAGAGCTCACACTGCAGCTGAGCGGGAAGGTGACAAAGGCACAGCTGTGTAGAAACAGTCCTGTGGCATTCCAAGGAGTCTGTGACTTGGAGTTCATCAGGGCAGTCTGCATTTCGCTCCTTGTTCCTGAGCCTAGCAGATGTGTGAACATGAAGTTCCTCTGACAGTTGTTTCCCAATCGAGAAGCAGACTTTAAAAATCTGAGGATGAGTGCACCCACAGCCGGGTGCTAGCAGACAGCTCACAGAAGGCAGGGACGACTTCCTGTGGCCTTGTCTGCCCTCCTAAGTCCTGGCGGTCACAGTCCTACTCTGAGGTTTATACTCAGTGCTATATATTGCCTCATTTTGATTCAAATGAGATGGAGCCTTTTTGTTACATAGAAAACTCCTAATTTTTTCTAGAATTATTTTGAATCATTTCGAGGCAAATGTTTAAAATCTAAACACATTTATTTAACTTAACTCATTCCTCCAGAAAGATACCAGATAAGCTCCCAATGGCTCCCAGTGGTAGATGGTTTAGAATATTTTTGTTCGGCTTTAAATTTTTGGGAGGGAGGCTGAAGAGGCTTTAAAATTTGAATCCATTGTGTATTTAATTTTGAGCAACCTTTATATAACATTCCAAGTACATGCACTGTCACCAAGTGACAAAGTGACAGGTTCCTGTGGACCTCGTACCGTCTTATATTTGTTCGTAATTGTCCTCGGGACTTGGCTGTGGTTGTAACTCAGTGAGAGGAGCTCTTAGAGTCCAGGGCCAATCATGTTTGTTGACTCCCTTTATTCCTAAGTGCTCTGCTCCAGAGAGAGATGGGAGGGGCAGGTGTTAATGACCTGGCTGGGCGCTTGGTGCTAGCGGAAGCAGAGGCCAGGCGGGAGAGGGGCAGGTAGACCTGGTCAGCGGTAGCCTCAGCAGCTGCCATGGGAAAGCAGATGTGTGCAGAAGGCTGCAGGGTGCGGGAGTTTTCAGGAGGAAGGAGCCTGGGGAGGACAGCGCCCTCAGAGGACGCAGCAGGGCTTTATGCGGTAGCATGGAGGCAGGCCTTGGGCCAGCCACAGGGAGTTTACCTGAAGTCTGCTTGGAAGGTAAGGGATTGCCAAGACAAAAAGGAGTGCAGACATGATTATAGGGATGTCTAATGTATGTAAATAATACGAAAGATTCTGAGCTTTCTGAAAAGGACATTTATATAAAACAGACTTATTCATTCTTTGAACTATGTTGGGAGAGTCAGTGGATGTATTTGAAATTAATAATCCTGAATTTCTTTTAAACTAGATCATTCAGGGGAGTTCCCAGAAATTAGTAAATGATCACTATATTTAGCTCCGTATTTGAGGCTGAAATAATCAATGTGGATTATGTAGAACCGTTGTTTTCTTTAATCCCTTATTGTTCTGAGCCGACAATACTCATCTCTACCTGCATTTACACTAAAATCCTAGAGTTGACCTCATCAAAAGCCTGCTGAGGACCCCGGGGAGTGCAGAATGGTTCTAGCTGAGGAACATCTGCCCCGTCCTCCGGCCAACTCTAGGAAGAGACTAGACAAGGTCCATGGTCCACACCAGCCCTGGGATCCTCTGACCCCAGCTGTGTGGGGCAGCCCAGGGGATCCCATGCATACGCAGCCATCTGGGAGGTCAGCAAGCCCGTGGTCATTGTGGCCAAGTCTTGGAACCATGCAAGGAGACTTAGAAGCATTGTTTACAGATTAATGTGTGTGAGGTGACAGCAGAACACCTTTGGTTTTATGAAAGCCTGCAGGCCTAGAGAGAAAATATATCACTGATGCATGTCATGATCCATGATCAGGGGAATGGCAGTTTAGTAGGTGTGAGAGTTTCCTCTGAAGAGAAACCAAGACTTCATACTTTATCTAAAATGATGATATAACTTTTGACTAAATATCAGATTAACCATAACCTGGTGATGTTTGCTTTTGCAGATACAGCAGGGTGAACCCACATGGTGGGGCTCGTTCCAGAGCAGTCAGTGTGAGAAGCTAAATGATCTCCACAGTACTGGCCTCATCAGTGTGTCCTGACCTCTCTGAGGTCTTTCTTCAGGGAGATAATTTTAAAACAAAGAAAAACCCTCGTGGAATTTGGAATTTTAAATACTGTCACCCTTAAATTATTTTTATTGTGCTTTTCTGCAGTGTAAATGAAGGGGGGTATTACTAGGAAATTATGTGCTCATACTGTGGCATTATGAGATCAAGCACAGGTCCGAGTTTGGTTTGTACAGTGGATCACAGACTCCTCATCCCTGAATTGAGTTACTGTGTCAAAGGAGCAATGCCATTTCTGAAATGTGGCCCACTGGCTATTAAATGAGCACTTGGGTTGGCAGTGTTGTGGAATCTTTCCCTGAGTGGGTAAGACCATTTAGTTCAGAGCAAGCAGTCCTCTACCTTCATAGCTCCTGAGGCCATTGGTGCAGTCAAGGATCAGAACTCCTGTTACCAACAGTGAGTCAGACAGAAGAGGTGCGGTTATGTTCTCCCTACTGTAGATACGTGTTAAATCTGTGTGCTGCCAGGCTGCAGTGATGGCGCATTGCCCAGCCTGACATAGTCTGTCCCCTACCGAACTCCTGCTGAAACCTGATCACCATGGTGGTGATGTGGGGAGGCAGAGCCTCTTGAAGGTACCGAGGTTGCCACGAGGGACTGTTGTGGGACTGGTCATTCTCACAGCAGTGAGTCCTCATGGGCTGGGTAGCCGCCCTGAGTCACCCTCACGTCTCCTCTCCTCAGCAGATGCGCGCTTGCCCCTCCCACTTCCACCATGGTCCAGAGCTGCACAAGGCCCTCATCGTGTGGGCCACCCTATCAGGCATTCCCAGTTTCCAGAACCAAAGTCAGCTTCTGTGCTTTACGAATTCCCAGTCTCGGGTATTCTATGAAAACACCAGAAATCGGACTGAGCAGTCTGTGCACACTAAGCAGTACTTTTAACACATAATCTTGGAGTCTCTAGAATTTTAAGTTCTCCAAAAACTGTAATTACAGGTGCTATTCCAAGTCAGAGCTTCCTGAATCTCAAAAAGGAACAGAAAATACCACCCTTGTTCTGTCATCTTAGGCCAGAACATGCAATGCAACATCCTACAGCTATGTAAGGAAAGACAAAAGGGAGTATCATGTATAAAATAGTTTATTACCGTAATAAATAAACTCTCTTTACAAATATCATTTGTGCTTGTTTAAAAATGTTGAGAAGGAAGTGTCATCAGTGGAGGGGCCCTCAGGGTTCTCTTCACATCCCTAGCTGTAGACCTAAGGCGAAGTTCCTGGCAGCAGCCTCTGCTGACCACAAAAATATCAACTCATTTGCACTTCTGTTTATTCATGCTTATTTGGACAGAGTGACAGACGTGAAGGAAAAAGGAAAACTCAAGGATCTGGCAGGACTTAATGGAAAGACTGCTAGTATATGGAGAAGGCCCAGAATGCTGATCTGCCCAGGAGCAGAAGTGTCCTTGCCTTGGAATGCTGAATGTGGACTGTCTGCAGCGAATGCAGAGACAGAGCCTGAATATTAAGAGGATGTATTCATTAGGCAGCGCATCCTTGATACAAATGCAGCTCATCTGATGCAAGAGCTGCGAACTTCTCACTGAACAGCTAACGGGCCCGTGGGATGACTCCTGAGCCACAGGTAAGGGGAGAGCGGCTAAGGAAAGGTGACTGGCAGCAGAGAGGGCACCCCAGGTCTGAAACGTGCAAGGTATTCAAGTCCAGTCCCAGAGGTTCCACAATAGTCTGATATGCTTGCGTGAGAATGAAGTTTCCCTTGAAACTAACGTAAGCTGCAGGTAAATTCACATTGATTCTTTTGAACTGTGGGGAGTGGGAACTAAAAGTTCTGAACACCAATGCCTTGGGTGAGAAGGTGGTACTTTGTCTGACGCTTGGGCTCGATGCCGAGAGGACTGAGGTCTCCTCCAGGTGGAGGGCGCAGGAGCTGGTGTAGGTCATTTTTACAGAAGCAGGGGGGAAGGCAGCACAGGGAGCAACACTGGACTCGGAGGCACAGGAAAGCCGGCCAGGCTATGCTGCAGGTCCCTCCGCGCCAGTCCGTTCAAGGGGCTTAAGGCTCAACATCTTTATTGCACACAGTACAACCTGTCAGTCAAATGCACACCAGCAACGTGTGCTCCACCTGAGCTCCTAAAAATGTCCCAGCATGCGCATACAATGTGGGAGTCAGCGCAACCCGGGGAAGAGCCGGTCTTCCCCCAGCAAGCTCCTAGAGGTCTTCCAGGCCTCCTTGGCCCAGCCTGGACAAGCCAGACAGCGGGCGCAGGCTTTCACCTCCCACCTGATTTGGAGGGTCAGGACTGCTCTATGGGGCAGGGTGACGGGGTGCGTTTTGCCCCTTGCCTAGGTGGCCCCATTTACGGAGGAGGAAGCTTCCAGAAAGTGATTGATGTGTGGCCAGCAGCGGCTCTGAGAGCCCTAGAGTAAAACAGGCCCCAGGAATCAACTAACAAGAAATGAAAGGAAGAAATGTATTTCCAAAGCTGGCTGGAAGGCTGACAAAGTGGGCATAGCTTTTAAACACCTGGCCACATGGGAGCCTCGTGAGCATCATGGAGCTCTGCACCAAGGGGGCAGCTGCATGAGTTGTGTGCACCCAGTGGCTGCTGCCTCCTTCCCTGGACATCACATCCTCCCCACCGGAGGCGGCGTCCATGGACACATGGGGTGGCACCGCACCGCTGGGGTCAAGAACGAGCCCACGTTGCCCATCTTGCTGCTTAGATTCATCCCTCGCTCCACCATGGGAAGAGCACGTTCCATAGCCCAGTGATTCAAGTCAGCCTGTCGGGATGTCTGCTGGGAAACGGAGCTTCCCGAATCAGGCTCAGAATGAGGAGGTTAGTGGAGATCAAGCAAGCAGGACTTACTGGAAACAGGTGCAATGTCTCTCCAAAAGACAACAAAAATCTCAGACATCTCTCTCTCTCTCTCCACATAATTTTTCAGTGTAATACTCAGTAGCTTTCTCTAGCCTATCTTCAGCCATTGGATTTCTACTGGAAGCGCAGGTCAGTGGTAGCTGAGGGTTGTGGGCCTCGCCCAGGTACCCGGGGTCATACCTGGCAAAGGCAGCACAAAGCAGCCTTCATCATGTAAAGGAAAAAGGATTGGCTCATTTAAAAAATGTTTTTTCAGAGAAAACAATTTTAGTAAAAACTCCTTAAAAATTGTTAAATGGAGAAGAATAAAAGCAGATACAGCCACATCTGTGCTGCTCTTAACTGTCACCTGCAGGAATCGTGCTGCAGGGTCTACAGCCTGAGATGAATGGATTCCCACGGCCAGGCGGGACTCCAGTCTCTGCCTGATTCCCTTTATCCTAAGTGCTTTCCTGAAGCTTCCTCTCCCAGGACGAGGCTGGACCCCGAGGGTCCCCAGCATCCCTGCCCTTCCGACCCAGGCACTCGATGTCTAACAGACGGCAGAGCTGGCAGGAAGTAGAAGGCCTCTGGTGTGGCCGGCGGGGTGCTGAGGAGCCTACCGTCGTGTCCCAGGAAGGGCGCCCCTGAAGCTGGATGTGGGGTTCCGAGGTGCCCCACCCTGCCAGCCCAAGCAGCAGTTAACGAGCCTGTTTGAAGAAGGGCAAACAGGAATGTGCAGGGTGCAGAGGGGATTCTCCATATTCTGTGGCCAGGTGAGATGCAGCCTCAGGAAGTCACACTTCCCCTTCCACGTGTGCTGCCATCTGGGGCTATGTGGAATGACAGGCTGGGGTGCCCCTGGCCCTCCATGAGCCACCCACGCACTCCCTTCACCACCCAGGGCCAAGCAGGTCGAAAGGGTGGAGGCGCCTGGAAGGAGGCCTTCAGGAACACAATCTTTGGTAGGACAGGTCTCCATCTTTTAGCTTTCCTAAGGACACTGGCCTCCAGAATTTTGACAGCAAAGTGATGCCAGGCGGAGGAGCTGTGGCCGGGGTCACCACAGTGCTACACAGGCAGAGGCTTGCGGTCTGGGTGAGGCCACGCTGCCGCCTGCACGCCTGAGTCCATCTCTTAAGGCTGACACCAGAGCTGAACTTCCGGCCGAGCTCCGCAGGGCTGGGGCCCTAACACCTCTCTCCAGGGTGTGCACCCAGGCAAGCGCCACTGTCCCTGAAGAGGCTGGTCTGCCTTCCTCTCTCTGATGCCACCGAGAGAAGCCCAAGCCCTCCAGTTGCCCGGCCCTGGTGACAAGGCAGTAAGTGTCCCAAGCATCGTGACACTGGATGCGGCTGCTCTGACCATGGCTCTGGGTTCAGACCTTCTTCATGGACCACAGCTTGCTCTCGGCCTTACAGAGATGGCTTCAAAATCCTGCTTCGTCCTTTCCCCAGCTCCTGTATGCATTATGATCACAGTCCTGCCATCCTTCCTTAGCAGGAAATAGGCTGGCATTCGAACAAGGCCAAGCATGGCTCCCAAATGTCCTCTAAAGACCCTATGCAGTAGGCAAAATACAAATTTCTGAAGGGCAGTCCCTGTGAGAATCAATACAGATAGCACTTGCTACAATCATTTTCTGAGGTTGTGTGTGTGTCTGTCAGTAAAGCAACTCTGGGCTCCCACCCTTCCTGCTGATGCCCATACCCTGAGGAATGCCAGGAGAACACTCGGAAGAGGTCAGAAGGAAAACACGCAGAGCAGCCCGGTGTGGAGCAGGGCCGGAGGGTTCCCCAGAGCCTCCGTGTGGAGCGTTGCGCGGGGCAGGCTGCAGGCCCGGACAGCTCCTGAAGCCGAGGCCCGCTCCTGGCCGTACCCTGGCCGTGCTGCACGCCTGGTGAGTGGGAGGGGCTGTTTGGCCTTCTCACCAGCGGCAAAGTCGAGGGGCTCTCCTCTCCCTGCGCCTCCAGCTCCCCTTGTCGGAGATCGTTGCAATGTCACAGTAGGGAAACATGAAGCCACGGCGAGCTGTGCAGGCGAGGCGCCCAGCGTGGCCGCTGGGGGCCTCGGCACGGAGGCGATGTGGTGTCCACATCGGGGCTACTCAGCACGCTCCTACTGGTTCCAGAGCGCTGCTGCTCTTTCGGGTAGCTTTAACCTTTCGTAAGTATCACGGTAGTAGAAAGTTTAAAATAAAGGCGAACACCCTTGAGACAGCACGCCCTTCTCTGGGAATCGCTGCTGCCGCGGGGCGGAGAGGCACCTCCTCCTCGGTCCCGGAGGGGGCGGCCTGAGCCTGTGCCCGGGCCCTTGGAGAAGCCGACTCTGGAAATGACCGGTCGCTCGAGCGTGTGTGGCGGGGTGGTGTCGGGGCGGGGTGCGGACGCGGACTGGTTTCTCTAACAAACCCCTCAGCTCCTTCCAAAAATGTCTCTCTCCGAGTCTGGGGACTGGGGCCCCGATATTTCAAACAGCTCCTGCGGGGACTGAGAGGACCTCCTGGCGGTTAAGATCCTGAGTATCTCCGACAGCTGCTTCTCCACGCTGGCCACCTTGGCGTTCAAGGCCTTGATGTCCTCCTTCAGCTCGAGCTTCGCCTCCAGGACGGCGGCCTGCAGCGTCTGCTCGGGGATGGGGTAGAAAGAGTGCTTGGCCTCGGCCAGGACGGGGCTCCGGTCCTGGGGGCTCCGGGCCTCGCCCGCGTTGTCCAGGCGCAGGTCGCTCTTGGTGATGCCGCTGTCGCAGGAGTCGGTCTTCTTCAGCGTGGCCTCGCCTGGCGCCTTCGTCCTCTCGGGCAGCGTCTCCATGGACTCGGCCTTAGACACCTGGCTCCAGTCCTCCGCCTTCCCGCAGGCGTCCTTGAAGCGCGCCCAGCCCCTGCGCTTGGCGCCCGCGCACTCGGAGCCCGGCGCGTGCAGCCTGGCGAGGTCCGACCCCGGCCCGGACCCCGGCCCCGGCGCCGCCTGCAGCGGCACGGGCGTGGCAGGGCTCTCGCGGACGGTGACCACGCTGGCCAGCACCAGGCCGCGGCTGGTGGCACTGGGCTCGCTGAGGGCACCGCCCTTCTCCACATCCGTGTCTTCAGGGTCCCGGCTGCCCCTCGCTGCCGCCAGCCTGGCCTCCTTCTGCTGCCGGAACCGCTGGAAGAGCCGCCTGACCGGGTGGTCGGGGGGCAGGATCAGGGGCGCCTCGTTCTTCCGCTTCATGCGCTCTTCCTCTTCCCGCTTCACGTCGCTGATCTTCCGGAACACTATCTGCGGAGCAGACAGAGGGGCACTGTTAGGCGGCCGCGTCTGCCCGCCCGGTCCCCGCGCCCAGCAGCCCGAGGAATGAACCCACCCGCCCACCCACGTGCTGGGAGCCGGAGCCTCCAAACTGCTTCCTCGCCCCGTGCCGGGCCCCGCTCTGCAAGTGAAACGCACACGGTAAGCTTTAAGGCTTCCTCTTTCCGCTCCCACCTCAGACCTGCTGGAGAATCTCCAGCGAAGGCTTTGAATCCGGAAGATAAAAGCCCCCCAGGGATTCCGGAGTTTGAGCCGCTCTGCTCTAAACCACGCTTTGCAGCAAGAAAGTCCAAGAGAGTCCCCAGGCAGGGGTCCCACTGTCTGTCGCCTCAGAGCCGACCTGGTGAACCTGCAGGCCCGCGAGAAAGCGGGTCTGGTCTCGGTGTGAGCCGCGTTTCCCCGGGGAGCTCAGAGTAACGCAAACAAACACCCCCGAACCCGCGCTTAGACTTGTCCCGGCGCTAATGCCCAGCACCTGGGCAGCGCTCTGGCTCATGAAGCATCTTGCCGTTAGTCCGTGTGTTCCTTGTCAGGTTACAAGGACACACAGCATTTCTCCAAGGCTCAGAGCAGCTCAACACCCAGAACGGGCGAGCTGCCCATCAGGGACCCGTGCCCAAGCCGAAAACTGAAGCTCCCTGAGGCGGCCCCCGGAGCGTTACCAACAGTGCTAGTTCACGCAGAGTGGACCGTCAGCCTTCCAGACTCGGGGCTCTCGCTCGGGGCTGCGTCAGCCACAGGTTACAGGGCTTCTTCCTGGGCCCTCAGCCATAGTTTCTGGATTATGCTGCCTGTGACAGTGAGACTGCAGGACATGTTTTGACCCTTGCTGTGTCCAGCCTTGTGGGAAGCAGCCTGTGACAGGGGCTGCCTTTTTAAAGGGAGTCAATGGTTGAGGACCAGAGGCATTGAGATCATGCAGACAGAGAGGCCCCAGGGAGGCAGCTGCTTTCCCACCATCCTGATCTTACTCCTGTGCAGGCAGCCAAGACTCACCCAGAGGCCGCCCCGGCCAAGGTGAGGCACCCACTGCCGGAGCACGGCCTCGAGGGTCAGACAGACAACCCATCCCAGCTGCAGCCCTGAACCCCGTGGTGTCAGACTGGTGTCTTCAGTCTCAGCTTTTGCCCAGATGGGGAAAATCTCTACTTTCCGGAACTGGCCCAAAGCGGTCGTGAGGTGACTCACGTAACAGCAGTGTCCACTGCAGATGCAAACCCTGCTGCCTGCCCTCTGAGGGAGCCTGGGTGCAGAGAACCCTTGGCTGCTCCTCCAGCCCTCTTGCTCACTCTGCTCTGTCTGCAGCACCTGTAGGTTTTCAGAGATTCCCAACAATATGGTTATTTCCATGCACATCACAGAGCAGCCCGGTAAATATGAACTGCTCAATGCCAGCAATCAGTCAACAAGTCCCAGTCCCGGACAGACGGGGCTCACGTCCTGCTCTGACTTGGTCAAAGCTCCTGGCACCAGAGGACTCTATACTGAGGTCACTCAGAGTGGGTGTTATAGCTTCAAGCTACTTACCTGGGTGCCAGTACATTGTCTTCTGACCGGCACTGAGCAGCATTTCTCCCCTTGCTGTGCCAACTTCTCCCTGGCGTCCTCAGCTGTGAGGCTGTTGTCCTGCTCTCCCTCTCCCACGGACGGACGTTGAGCGGCACACCTGCCCAGTCCCTGTGCTCAGGGCCAGTGACTGGAAGACCCCACCCCTGTGCCTACGGCACCCAACAGTTTCTGAACAACATACACGCCGCTTCCATCCTCGCCCCTCTCAAAGCTACCTGATGGCTTAAAGCTGTACTTTGTCAATTGCATCCTTTTCACTTTAAGAAAGCAGGGACTTTCTCTTTTGTTCAATATTCTCAGACTGTGCCTGGTACCTGAGGTGCTCTCATTGAGATCTGTAGAAAAAGTAATAAACAGGAACTATGGGCAGGTGAGCCAGTGGGAAAATGTCCCTGGCCTGGAGAGCTGAACTCACAGAGGTCAGTGTTATCAAAGGAAGGACTTGGCTCAGAGTGCACCTGGTCCTCTGTTAACTGTCAAAGCAGAAGGGAGGGACAGCCCTTCGGACTGGCCTTTCTGTGTCAAGGAGGCAGCACAAGCCTATCCAGCGAGGTCGGACAGCACTGTGCCGGTGTGGCAGGTACTCACGGCAGATATTCGTGGCTGGGTGCTCTGCAGTGCTCTCCAGCCAATGGCCCAGTGTCGGCATCCTGGGCTGACCAGCCTGCACACTCACAGCTTACGCCTACGTCACCTGTGGAGCAGCCCGGCGCTCCAGCCTGAGCCTGCCTTGGGAGGGCCGGGTCCCTCCACTGACTCGTCTGAAGCCCCTTGGCTCCTTCCAAAGTGTCAGCACTGCTGTGGCATGGCAGCCCACCTGAGCATCAGGGCCTCCCCCAAGGGGAGGTGACCCAGAGCTTTGGCCCCTCGAGAATCAGAGTAAAACCAGCGGCCCTCATGGGGCAAGACAGAGTAGTTCTGACAGCTTTGCTGATCTGGGGCGGAGGGCTCTGCTTGCTAGCTTGAATTGCATTTCTGGGGGTTAGTCACGGAGTCCGTCTCGGGCAGCCGCCGCCATGCCTTTTGACAAGGATTCTAGGGCTGTGCCAACAGGGCTGGCTGCGTGACTTGTGCCGGCGAGGGCCGGCCTCCAGCTGCAGCAGTCCTCCCTGCTCAGAGGTGCTCGTGTTTGCCTGGCAAGACCCCAAGCCCACAAAGCGGGTGCTCTCTGTGCTCAGCAGGCTTGCTCTGGAGGCCTGGCCATCCAGCCTTTCCACAGTGCTCCACGGGCTTTAATGGGTGCTATGAAGACAAGAAACGTTCCGAGGTGAAGTTTGAGCCACTGCACTGTACAGTTGGACCTCTCGGAGCCCGAACCACTGATGCGCCTTACAAATGTCCACGAGAGAGACACTGCACGTGGCCTTTCTTATCCATTTTCCCCAAACCTCCTCTTTCAAATCAGCAGCATTCCCCAGAGTTCCATCAAAACTGTACCAGCATGTGGGGTATGGTCTGCCTTCTGTATTCATGCCTAGGTTCCTGCTTCTTTCTCCAGGCTGCATGGTGCCTTGTAACTATTCCTGCATGTGGGCCCTGTCTGGCATGTGGGGCCTCAGTGGCAGATGTATCACCCCCTGGTGGATGGGCCTGTGTTAGTCAACCTCCCAGGCCCACTCCTTCTGTTCTCCAACCATGCTGAGGAATTTCAGGTCCTGGAAAAAGGCATGCTCATGGCCCCCAGTTCCCGCGAACCTCCTTGCACCTGTCCCTCCAGCCTGACGCCTGGGTGGCAGCTGGGACTCAGCTTAGGCATCGTCTACTCCACCTGGCGTCCCCGACTCTCCCCACCCCAGTCAGAATGGGCCTTGTGGCGGTGCTCAGCACTGGCAGTCACACACTTCCACAGATCTGTGCAGCCGGCTGCGAGGAGTATGCTTGTCATTTCCTTCAGGTGGACGCTCCCTGAAGGCAGGCCTAGCTTCTGTTCATCTCCAGCATCACGCCGGTCATGCAGAGTGCTTGGTCAGTGGTCCGTCAGCACATTCCCCTGCCGTGGTGGTGAGGCCCATGCTACCCGCTCCCAAATCTGCCTCTGTCGTTTATGGGCTAAGGGGAGAGCGGAGAGCTCACAGGTGGATTGATCTTGTGCAAATTACAGAGGCTGCTGAAGGGTGGTGCGTAAATATGCTGTTAAAGGGTTTCCATTCCTGTTCACCTTCATATGGCCTCATACTGCTTTCATCATCTCTGATTTCATTTTTCAAACCCTACATAACCTCAGAGAGCAGATATTTAGAAGTAGCCCTGAGATAAACACTTTTGTTTTGCAGTAAGGGTAACTGCTGTGAAGTTTCCTTTTCCATAAGCTTGGACCCTCCTAGAAACGGTCACCCAGTGTCACGGGTGCCTGCTTTACTCTCGCTGTCTCGCACCTGCCCTCCCAGCGGGACAGCCCCATGCTCAGGGCCCCTTTGGACAGGGCCAGCTTTTACCCATTGCACTTCAGTGTAAGATTCCATTTCAGTAAAGGGTGGTGTGGCCCCAAACTCAATTTGAAAACCACTGGATGATATCATCTCAAAGGACCCTTCCAGCATGAAGTCAGTGGTTTTAGATGTATGGTTCTGTTTTGCATAGTGCCTCCTGACTTACTCAACATGCTCCAGTACATTATCTCACTGAGCTGATGATTCCTATAAGGTGCACAGGGATCTGCAAGCTGTCAACCCAGGAGGCTGAAGCTGAGCCGGTGGAGTGACCTGCTTACAGTCCTAGGGCTGGTGAAAAGCAGGACTTCGGGGTGTGGGCCGGTGTTCTGTCCGTCCCGTCAAGGACTCTTTGCTAGGGGCCACACTGACAGGGAGGCACCAGGCTCTGTCTGGAGAGGCTGGGGTGAGGCCTGATTTCCCACTGGAAGGCCAAGACCTGGAAACAGAACCCTCTGTTCCATCCCGAGTCCGGGCACCACGAGGGAATGAGTCCAGATCCCTCCCGAGGGCGCCAGTCTTGGGGACACACATTCCCTCTTGGCTGGCATGTTTGGCAGGGAGGCGAGTACTGAGGAGGCTTCCAGCCCAAGGGTGGCCACTGTCCCTTGCTCACCCAAATGAGTGCCCACTGAGGCCACACCAGGCAATGGACTTGAGCCCAGGTCCTCAGTAAATGGTGTTGAGCTGAACTGAATTGACACTCTGGTCCGTAAGGTACAGGGCTTTCCAGACAACTGTGTCTAACGTGGTGTGAAAAGCCAGTCCCCTCGGGGTCTGAGGTGAGCCAGGGCAATCAACCACCTCTCCCAGTTGCATTAAAAGAGGACCCAGCCTCTGCCAGTGCCAGCCTAGGCTAAGCCCAGGGGACCAGGTGTCTTCTCCAGGACAGTAGGCCGGGGAGGGAAAGGATCTCCCGGGTCCTGACAGCACAAGGCACTACTGGTGCCATCTCCGGCTGCAGCACAAGCC